TTCAGGCTGGGCTCTTTTGCTTTACAAAACAGTTTTTCTTCATTAGGCCTTCTGTTTCTACACTGTGCTGTTTACTTACAGCCCACTGCATATGTGTGAGTGTGAGAGTGTTTGTTTTACTCACTATAATCTGGTCTGGCCTGATGGCTCTTGCATAGTCCACTTATGCTCATCTGCATCTGCCTCGCAACATTTTTTTGGGTTTATGAATTTTTGGAGTTTGATCATGCACCGTATTTAAACTGCTTCCTGAATGTTACAGTAGTTGCAGGAATCATAAAATATTTAAAGATTCTGGTTACTTAATGGTGGTTCTTACTAATTTGTAGAAAGAAATAATTAGGATTAAATGCAGGCTTTTCACAAATTAAGGTATCACATCACATGTGTCTCCGAAAATCAGTACAAACTCAAACATCTCTCATCAGATTCTCTCAAGACCAAATGATCTGAAATATGCTGTATATACAGTAATATTTTTTAAATGTCTTTTAAAATCTCTTATACTTGAAGTCTCTTATATTCATCAAGGCTACATTTATTTAATCAAGAATACAGTAAAACAGTAGTATTATTAAAATAATTTAAAATTTATAATAGCTGTTTTCCCATTAATATATTTGCAATCCTGTGATAGCAAAGGTGCATTTTAAGCGAACATTACACCAGTCTTCAGTGTCACATGATCCCTCAGAAATCATTTTAAAATGCTGATTTGGTGTTCAAGAAAAATTTCTTATTATTAATGTTTGAAGCAGTTATGCTGATTAATACGTTTGTATTTTTTCATTATGAAATACAAAAGTTCAAATCTTCAGTTCAAAAATCAGAGTTCAAATAATTATAAATATCTCTGTAAATTTTGATCAATTGAATGCATCCTTGCAGGATAAAAGTATTAATTTCCTTTAAAAATTCGGATTAAAAAAACCTTACAGACCCCATACTTTTCAGCAGTGGTGTATTTGAGTCTACTTTTTTTTTCTCCTAAGGAATTTGATAAGAAACATGAGACATAGTTGATACTTTAATGAGACATCCATTCTGAGTTTCTGAGTTCTGAGTTTCAAAGAGCAACCCCTTGAGCAATACAAATTTCCTCTGGGTACATTTCTGTGTTAGAGAAAGAGCAAATGAACTACACACACACACACACACACAGACAGACATCATCTCCATCTCCATGTGGATTCACCAGAGCTGCTTCCACACACTCCCACATACACACTCTGATCTCCACTGGTGCAGTGGGATAAAAATGTAATGAAATAATCTGTGTCCATATTAGTTAATTATTCCCAGCCCTCTGGGTGAAACCTGCATACATTTCATTTCCAGAACAGACATACAGAAGATCTGTTACAAAGCTTAGTGAGCTGCCTCTGCCTAAATTCACCCTTTTGTCGTTCTAAACCTGTGACTTGCTTTCTTCTGTGGAACATGAGAAGATCTTCAAAATGTCTTCTTTTGTATTTCACAGAAGAAAAAATGTCATACAAGTTTAGAGCTACATGAGTGTGAGTAAATAATGTACAGAATATCAATTTTGGGGTCTCTTTATCTGGTTTGTGACACTCCACATAGATACCAACTCTGTGTGCCACTCCTTACACTAAAAGCTAAATTTATTTAAACAGCCTTTGGCTTTAGCATTTTGCTAAGCTAACAACAGCATAAAAATGCACAATACAATCTATAATACACTCTATAAATAAATACACAAAAATGTGTATTACCCTGAACCATTTTTATAATTCTTTTCAGTATTTATTTAACATCATCCACCAGCTTGGGTTTATTTTTTCATTGAGGGCAAACCAATTTACCCAAAAAAGTTAGTTTAGGATTAAATTTCCTTTTGAAACAGGAGCCTTAAAATGCTACCTCAGATTAGGCAACATGTTGGAACAGAGCAACACGCTGCCCTTGCTCTGTTGTTGATGTTTTTCTGTGCGTCGTTTTGGACATTGCTTATTCTGGCAACATTCACACCTGCTGAGTGGCGGCTTTTCAGGGTTCCCGCGGGTCCTTAAAAAGTCTTAAATGTACCCTGCGTTCCATTAGGAAGGGCTCATCCCTATGCCCTAATCCCTTCAAAGGGTTTACCATCCGGAGTGAGAGCTTCGAAGGGTTGAGGGGTGTAGGGGACCAAACAACTGTTCCTTGAAATGCCCTTCTGCGTCATTATCACGTGCCCACACGGAGGCGCCGTCATCATGCAAAGAATCTGCGCAAAGGATCATGGGAGCCCGAAGTGTCCATCAGTTGTACCCTTCGAAATCCTTCATTCCGAAGGGCCCTTTGAAGTGGCTAGTTTTGAGCAGTTCGGTTTCGAACGACCCTTCAATATGGCGGCCATGATTGTTTTCACTCCGAAGTGCCCTTCGGAGGGCGATATATCCAGTTTGGAACGCACTGTGTGAGTTGCTCCGTCTCACGCCGCCAGAGGGAGAGAGATTCTCGGTAC